CCTGCCTCTGCAGTAATTGTAGGCTGCCCCTGGAGCAAGCTCAGTTTTCCCATCGCATAGCAATAGTTTCTGCTGCACTCCTGGTACTTTGTGAGCCAGTACATTATACAGCATATAAAGTCCAAGTGCTCCTGTGCAAAGTACTAATTCCCAAACGTGGCAGCATGTATGTCACCCAGAAACAGTTGCTCCTGTGGAGACAAATGCTACCAGCTCATTTAGGCTGCATACACAAGGAGTCTTCTCTTAAAGCACTGTCATTGTCTGCATTGCAGGGAGTTTGGGAGAGGAAACAACAGTTTATAATGACATGGTGATACAAATAGAGAAAAAAAGACACATCCAAGACTAGGTGTATAGAACCTGAAATCCTGTATTCCTTCAGAGACACAATTGTGAGAGAGTTCAGTTGTCAGCCTTCTGAAGTTCTGTGTGACTATGATACTCAGGCACAATCTGATAAACAGAGATCTTTGGAACTTTGAGATTTCTCAGGAAAGCAGCACACGAACCAGTGAAATAGGGGCAGAACTAATTCCAACATAGCACCAAACGTGAAAAACAACTCACCGAGGAACAGAATCCAGGACCAGCTTCCAAACAGTGGTGTAGCTGGTACAAAGTAACTCCAGAATTAGAGAACCATGTAGCTTTAATTCAGATGGTAAATCCAGATTATTAGTTAAGTATTCAATGCAGAGGATCATCATTTTTAGTGCAGTAACCAAGGAAATGTATTCATTGTTTGTGCAGAGTAATAGTAATAATTATTTCAGAGAATTCTTACTGGCAAAACTATGTAGATACTTCAGATTTTACCATGATTAATATATAACCCAAAGTATAGTTTCTGCAAGAGTTGTGATGAACAGTTTTGTTCTGCAAACTCTTCTAAAAGGAAGAGTGACAGTTCTTTTCAGGATGCTGTGAAGATTTTTAATACAGACACCATGTGTTTGCTGGATTTTCTCCAGGGTGAAGTTCCGTTTTGTCTGTGACTTTGCAGGTAATCGTCCAGCACCAAAACCTGCTCATTTCCAAAGCCAACAACACCATCAACTACACATTGCTGAGTAATGACAATGCCTTCCTGAGCTACTACCCCCATTACTTCACACAGCGGACCCTGACAGCACGTTTTCAGATGAATAACACAAAGCCACCACATGTCCAGATGGTGCGGAAACCAGTGCTGACTGTAATGGGCTTGCTGGCACTGCTAGGTATAGTAACCACTGATTAAAGAGCACACCAATAACCTAGAAGCTTCCTGCCTCTGAGAGATTGTTCCAGCCATTTCATCATTCCTAAAAGAAGTTTGTTCCTACCTTCTGTTTACCAGCTGTGTTAAGAAAATGAAGATTCATTTCCTCAGAGAAATTAATAGCTCAGAAAATATTTCTGACAGTCTGTTATCCATTTGATTTAACTTACAGCTTTGTTTATGCCCTCTGTGTGCCAACCACTCTTTCGCTGACTGGTACTTCTGGTTTGTGTTGTTAGGGGTACTTCCCATCAGGCTGCAAATGTCTTTAAGAAATCCCCACAGGTGGAAGACTTGGGCAGCATACTAAAGGAAGAACCTAATTCACTGTCACATGTTTGCATGCTGCTAGCTGAGCTGCTAAGCATAAGAACATGTAGTATGTGCATGCTCTGCTGTTGCAAAATAAACCTGACTGGACACTGTAACTGGTGAAATAAGATAGAACATAGCTCAACTATAGATCCGCATGCTTTGACCCTTCCTGTATCAGTAGCTCATACAGGACTAACAGTGATGCTTACAGAGTTCTCACCTTTTTTTAAAGGAGAAGAGCAGATTTTTGCAGAAGTGAAGAACAGTGAAGGTGAAAGCATTGGAAACAGCACAGTTGGTGTGCTGGCATCTGTGCATACCCCAAGTGAGATGCAACCCTCAGACAGCTGGCAAGCTACTCTACTGATGTATTTAAGTGAGGATAACAGGACTTCATCCAACATCAGCACCATCACAGTGAATGCCACCCACTTCCCCAAATGTGGAGGTAAACAAACATCATGTAGGCAGCTCATGCAGGATAAAACACCTGCTGAAACACTTCTGCTGAGTTGCCTTTTGGTGCAAGAGTGAGTTTCGCTTGCTAACTTTCTCATCTTTTGGACATTCATAGGTTTTCTGAGGTATGATAGTGTTCTTGGAAAGGTTCTTTCCTAATACCTGCACTTTGACCCTGCCTTTAATGGCAGCTGCAGGTGCTACCTTTTTGGAAAGTTGTTCATCTCAGTGTTCTTGGCTGGATATTGCCAGGCAGCAATTCCCTTACTGAGATGACTCCAAGACAGCGAACAAGACCACATGATTGCATAATTAATGCAGTTGCCTACCAAATTTGTGCAGCAGCTGTGCAAAAATAAGAGGATTTCAATTCTGGTTATAGAAGTAATAGCCTGAAATGTAAACTTGGTAAATGTGAATTGTAGAGCCTGGTCAGAGTGCTAGCCATAGAACTTTCAAGTGGAAGCCAGGCTCTGATGTGCTGAGATCACTTCTGAGAAGGTAGACTTACACACCTTTTGCCAAATTTATTCTTGTTAATCTTGAAATCTAAGTAAAGAGTTTACTTTTTTTTCATTTGTGTTCCTATAGGGCTGGTGTATGTGACATATTACCTGGATAATAACCTAACCAATCCCTACCTGAAATGGAAAAACCTAGGAAGCCCTGACTTTCCATCTCCAGAACAGTTCCAGAAAATAAGGGATGCTGAGGTATGACTATGTGTTTGCTTGAAGTGTTGTATGGGTGACATGCTTGTGAAAAAGACAAGAAATCAGCCCAGGTAGTCAAAATTTCCTTAGCTTACAGTCATCCACTTCTCATATACACACAGAAATGCACTTGCACTCATGCAGAGGAATGTAGCTGACATGCCACTGATACCTTTGTGTTCATGCTATACAAGAGACTAAATGTAGATGACCAGGTTCTTTGCTACTGGCCTACCTATAACTAAGGAGACACACTTGTTCCTGAGCAGAGCTGCAAGACCATTTCTGTTCTGTCTCCCCAAATAAGTCTCATGGCCCTGCGTATATTATGGAACGGCCAAATTGCTGCATTAGAGAGTTGAACCTCTATAACAGAAAATGAACAGTTCCCAGAGGCGGAAACTACCCAGACCAAGTTCAGAAGACACTTGGCATCTCTTAGGGTGTTACAGGGAGGCCTGCAGTTTCTCCTCATCCTTGCTAGTGCTGAATGCACTGCTTCCTCTCTGAGAACTCTTCTCCTCCCTACAGATAAAAGGCATGCATAGGTTACTTACTGCGTGTGAGAGTGCGTGAGCACCCTGTCACTTGAGCTGCCTCTCCCATATTTTCCCTTTGCATTCAGGCCCACAGCTTAAAATAAAGGAGACCATCTTTATCCCCTTCAGGGCCCACAGACAGCAGTTGCCTTCTGACTTTGAAATACAGTACTATGTCTTCTCCTGCCAGTCACCATAACTGACTATTGCTAAGGCTCGTAGGATACTATAGTAGCCATCAACTCTTCCTTGAAAAGGACAGCAGCAAGGTTTTAGATGCTCTTGGCCATCCGGTGAGACCTTATCCTCAGAGACCAGCTATGTGGCTGTTGTAGCTAGAAATAGCTTTCACTGTACACTGAAAATCCATAACTAAGAGGCAAGGACATGGTTTGTAAGCACCTCTAGCCTAAAAGGCATCCATTGGAGGTTACTAAAAGCAAGAGATTGTACCTAAAGGAAATCTGTGATCAATCCAGTTTGTGAGATGGACTCACCCTCTATTTCCTGAAGAGCTGGAAAACAGGTGCAATAAGAAAATCTCCCAGCTTGAAGAACTTTGATGGCTGTAAGCCACTTAGCAGCACCAACTCTTGGAAATTTAGAGTCCCAAAGTAAATCCAAAGACACTTTACACCGATTTAACAGCTGGCCTTTAGATGCTGTAATGAATGATTATTCACAACACTACTCTTGACTCCACAGGACCCACTGGTAAGAGGCCCATTCCCATTTCCTGAAGGTGGCACCCTGACACTGAAGCAAGACTTTCCCATTCCCTCAGTCTTTCTTATCCACATCTGTGCAAGACCCAGATCTGCTCCTGATCAAGTATGTGTTGTATTCTACTGTCAGACTCACCGAAACAGAAACTGCTTCCCATTTTAAATGTTAATAAGAAGAGCTAGAATAACATTTTGGTCTACTGCTTGTTAAAAGTACCATGTAAGACTTAGTAAATAAACAATTCTTCTCTCCTTTGATTAGAAGGCTCTCTGAGGTGTAATTTAAGATAAAGCATTACACAACAAGTGATAGGAGCCATCACTGAGATAAATGGAATGTTATCCACAGTGGGAAAATAATAATAATGCAGTACTGGAAAGTGCAGTATCTTTTTTTGAAAATCACATGATATGCTACCAGGCTTGACAACACAGCTCTCCAGTTAATAATTGATAGCTAAAAATAAAATGTTGTCATGGCTGCCATATATTAGATATCTTTATCTGCTCATTCAGTCCCACCCATGTTCACAGTGGTGCCCAGAGCCTCTGAAGAACCTCTGCAAGGTTGATGGGTTGGAGACATAGGCTACAAAACCACAGAGACAGGATTTTTTTTTACCTGGTCTCAGTGGAAAAAAAATCACAGCAAAGAATTAGTAAGGAAGGATGAACACAGAAATCTGACCTGGCTGATTGGTTTGTACCATTTTCTTACGTGGGCATATGTCTTTGGACAGGTGACTGGTGTTCGTTTGATCCCTCTCACAAAGGGGCAGGTCATTGTGTTGTGGGACGATGACTGCGTAAACTCAAAGTAAGTAGCTTTTAAACTAACATGGATACAAGTGAGTTGCCAATGCATTACTCCCTAAGTTGCCTCCAATCCTACAGAGTGAAACCAGTTCACAAATTAATAAATAATTGCTCCTTGAGAGATACCACTGTGCATTTGTCTGACAAAATGAACTGTAGGACCTATGTGCACTAACTACAGAGAGCAACCCTGACTGATTTGCTGCCTGACCAAAGGAATCTGCCTGTTGCTCACTGGCATTCTGTGGCATTTCTGAGGGACTTGCCTACAGCATAGCAGACAGGAAGATCCATGATAAAAGTTGTATTATCAGCAGATGTCCAGGTGGGATCTTGCATGTCTCTGTAAAGGATGTGAGCTGAAAGAGAAAACCTCCAGTTCCTTGATTCAGCAAGCTGGACTGGACTGGAAACCCTCTGTAGATGAACTGTCAAAGGTGATCCAGTGTACTGCCTCAGGAAGCACTGACTTGGCTCCTTTTCAAGCCAATCTCCCTAGACTCTTCAGCCTTGATAACCCTTGTTTGGGAGTAAAAGGTGTTTAACAGTTTGTGATGCTGCATATACCCTTTGTAGCAAGTCAGCCTGGGTGTTCTGTAGGCTGCTGGGGCTGTGGTTCTTCCTAATACTGACAATTCATACCATCTTGCATTGAATATTTTCTAGTTTTGGCCTTCTTGTTGAAACGGCCCTGAGACTAGTACTTGATTGCTCCACACATTATCAGTTGCAATTTCTTGAGCTGTCTGTTTTTCTCTTCTAGGTGTATAAAGACATTTGAAGTGGAATTCTCATCAGATGGGAAAACATACCAGCGGATTAATGCCAAAGACACAATATTCACTCTCTGGGTCTACTGTCCAGGTATGAGAAAAACACATGTATCAAGTAGTCAGTAGTCTGTCAAGTGTATATTGCCACTCATGAGTGCATGAAACATTATTTAGTAACTACTGAAGGTATGTAGCTTGCTTGTAACATACCCTCCCAACGCAAGTAAGAGTACATCCCTTCCTTTAGGACCACATTCTCAGGGAAAGCTTTGTTCTCAAGGTTAAACACTAATTGACAATTAATCATAAGGATATTATTAGTGGCATGAACAAGTTCCTTGTCACAGAAACCAGTCACCCAGTTGCAGGCCTGACAAGGTCCCTGAGAAGCTAAGCAGTGCTTTTGCAGCTGGTGTAGAAGCATGCAAAAGTGACAAGAATAAAAATATGGCTCCATATGACCAGAGCTTGGTGTTGTGCTTTCAGGAGTAGGCTCACAGCAAGGCAAGTTTGAGGTTCAGTTCCACAGGCCCTGGCCACACCTTCACCAAAATTTGTGCAGTGCTCTTGGGGTAGGGAAGAAGGAGCAAACTGCCTTAGTAGCACTTGTGTACCACTGAGTCCTAAGGTGTTAGACTGCCTAAGGTTAGGATCAACACACAAATAAGTGAGAGGTCATGCCCACCTTTTCATGGAGAGGTTGATTGTCTTGCATTTACCTTGTTCTCGGCCATTCCAGGGGAAAGTCACTATTCTGCTTTCATGATTGATCATCCCTGTTCCTTTGATGTTTGACTATCTTAAGCTATTGAGGTGCTCCATTGTAAGAACAGAAGAGACCATTCTGTTAGACAGTTTGTCCTGGCTATCTGAACACCTAGCCAAGGAGTGACACATCTCTTTGTCCTTTCGTAGAGCTTTCTTTTTAGCCCTGACTAGCTGCTTAAGTTGTAAATGTTTCACATTAGAGGGCAGTGAGTTTTCTCTTTGTCAACCAGCAAAGTTTCTCCCAGAGCCTGTGGCCATTTCTCAACTACAGCCTGTATGCCATAAAAGCTTGCCCAGATGAAACACCCAAGTGAAAGAAGATAGGAGTGTTTTATTTGGGTATTTTTGTGGTGGGGTTTTTTTTTTGTTGGTTTTTTTTATACAAATGTGGTCTAGTCTGCAGTGTGATTATCTGACAGGTATTGCTAATAAGCACTGATGAGAGCTGTGTGAAGCAGACAGACCTTGCCTCATACTGATACTAATAAAGAGCAATTCAGAGAGGTTTTTACCAGAAACACAAGCTCATCTTAGCCAAAGAAACTCTTCGCATCAGCAGTGGGTGCGTAATAAAATTCAGAGCTATTATTGCAATATAAAGGCTACAGAGGTAAGCAAAGACAGTAAATTATGGCTAAGGCAAATCTCAGAAATTAGTACTCATTATTTTATTTTAT